ATGTGAATGTACAATATATATGTATATATACACGTAAATTGATAGTGCTATATAAGTACCTGTAATAAATACATTTTTCATTTTGGATAAATGAGGGAGGGCTATAACTCCTGTCAGGTCTTTTTGCCATCTGTGTCCCATTGGAGAGATTTCCCCTCACTTCCTGTCTCATAGCCAAAACAGAAAATGAGAGGAAGTTCCTCCAAAGCGAGGGAAACCCCGGCTCTCACCAGAACTAGTGTCTGCGTTACTATGGCCAGTGGTGTATTTAGGTTTTGTGCTGCCATAGGCAACACAAAGATTGGCGTCCCCCCTCCGCAGAAAGAGCCTGACATTGACCAAGAACACCCTGCCCTCCACCCGAGCCTTCCACTACCACTGCCCCCCTTACACCAGCCACCATCCCCCATGGCAAGAGATTGAAAGACACTCACCTTTACAGCTCTGGACATCCCCAGCAACGAGAATCAGGTTGTGCATACACCGTCATGAAACCCACAGCATCTCTCGGAAACTCACCAGGTCCCCATGCCGCGTGTGTCCCTTCTTCTGTCCCTTCTTCCAGTGCTGCCCCCCCTGAAAAATGCTGCCCTAGGCAAATGCCTTTTTTGCCTTGTGGTAAATACACCCCTGACCATGGCTATTTTAGTGATTTTTATGGCATAAATATGGTGTCCCCATTGGACGATTTCCCCTCTATTACTTTTCTGGGGACAACACGAAATTTGGGATTTTCTTTTACTTTCTCTTTTGATGATAACAGTAAACAGGACAAATAGAGAGGGTGAATCTCCCCAATGGGGACACAGACAGCAATATCAACCAGACAGGGGTTCTAATCCCTCTCCATTCCATCCAAAACTTATATTAGTTGTATTTATAAAACTTAGCTATACTTTAACCACTTGCCGACCAGCGATGTACCTGTAAGTCACTGGACTTCAAGTGGTTATACCGGAAAGATGTCTGGATCTGCAGGCATCACCCCAGTACTGTTTTGTAGAGCCAACAGTTGTATCTTGAAAACGCAATTAGAGCAGCTAACTAGCCCCTGAATTGATGTTACAAGCAGTGCAAAGGGACATCCCCCCCTCCCACCACCTTTTGTGGTTACATTGGGCTGTCCTGTCCCACCGGGACACCCAATCAACCAGCCGGCGCTTCCACCCGCTGATCATAGAGCTGAACAAAGACCGGATCACCTCTGTTCAGCTCTATGATATAGTAACCCGGAAGCAGTGACCCCACATCACTTCTGGTTTTCCCGAATGTAAATGGTGCCATTTTTTAAAATGAAAAGCATACCGATCAAATGCGTTTAGGGGCAGAGGAGGGATCTGGGTTCTTACAGACCTCCGATCTCTCCATAAACAGGACCTGTCACATGCCTATTGCTGTCCCAAGGGATGCATACATTCCAATAAAAGTGATTTTAAAAAAAATTAAGCCACAGTGTAAAAAATCAAATCAAAAAAATAAACAAATAAATAATTGATTAAAAAAATATATAAAGTTGGATTTACATTCCAGTATATATCATTCATACAGCAATGGATCAGAATACATGAAAAGTTCTCTTTAGGTTACATGGCATCAGATATATTAATAAAAGCAGACGGAAGCGAGCAGAACGGGCTGAATCTAGAGAAAAGTTGTATCTCCTCTTCCCCCTGTGATGTCCTCACAAAATACTCCATCGTGTACATTCAGGCTTTCAGGTTGTGGAGTCAGAATTGGTATCTGAAGCTGTAAAAGAAAGTGGAGACATTTAGTCTGTATGATGATCACGGTGAATGATGATTGTCAGATGATTGTCAGAAAGTAAGGATCCTCCTGACCTCTCTATAATACTCACAGCATAGAGAAACATCCTCCTGACACACAAGCTGTGCTTAGAAGCTTTGGTTTCACTATAGAGGGAGAGGTCTGCACAGAGAGAGGTCCAATAAGAGGGGGGAGCTACTCAGTGGCGTTGCTGCAGGGGTGCAATTGCCCCCCGTAAGTCATTCCTCGCCCCCCCGGCTAAATTAGGCTGCCAGGCAGTGATGAAACTACCAGGGTCGCAGCGAGTGGGCCCTGATGTTCTGCCACCTAGGGGGGAGCCCTGACAAGTGGAACGGGGGCCCCATTGCCATCATAGGCAGTATCTCAGTCCTCAGGTATTTCTAGTTGTATCGCAGAGCTCCCAACTGTCCTTCATTTAAAGGGACTGTCCACAGTGGCTTAGTGGTGGGCGGCACAGTGGCTTAGTGCTTAGCACATCTGCCTTGCAGTAAATGGGTCATGGGTTCAATTCCCGACCATGGTGCCTCCTGCATGGAGTTTGCATGTTCTCCCTGTGCTTGTGTGGGTTTCCTCTGGGTGCTCTGCTTTCCTCCCACACTCCAAAGACATGCTGGTAGGTTAATTGGCTCCTGTCTAAATTGTCCCTAGTATGTGTATGTATGAATGTGAGTTAGGGACCTTAGATTGTACACCCCTTGAGGGTTAGGGACTGATGTGAATGTTCAATATATATGTAAAGTGCTGCATAAATTGACGCGCTATATAAGTACCTGAAATAAATAAATAAAAATCTGTTAGAAAAAAAAAATCCCTCTGTCCCCCTTTCTTCCTCGATTGTCCTTCTTTTCGGTCTGATATACAGACATCTATAACAATGCACTTGTTAACTACCAAAAGTGTCACACCACACTAAACCTTTCACCCCACCTCTGAAGTATTTCATTTGTTGTTTTGAAAGGCCGGTATGGAGAAAGGGAAATGGTAAGAAAAAAACCTTTGTGGGTTTTACCAATCACTTTGTGTTTAATTCTTCATGGACTGCAGAACTGGCGCTGTGTCCTTTACCTAACAAACTTTGTGCTAGATGGTGTCCCTCTTTCAGAAAGTTGGGGGGTATTTTATCATGTAGGCAATGATAATAGGTTCCTTGTATCATAGGATAGGATGATCTGCAGGACGTCTCATCTCCTCACATCTCCTACACACACCGCACACTACAATCACACAGGAACAGGACATGATGGATACTTACTACTGGTGGTTTGTAGCCTCGTCCCTTCTCTGGAATATAAGAATCATGAGTTAGAAACAGGAAAACACTGAACAATATCTCACAGACCAAAATCCAAACTTTCAGAATATTGAGGCCGGGAAGTCCATGAGGTCCCACACATGGGATATTTACCACAAGGCCTCAACCACCAAGATCAAAATATGAATGACTTTGGAAAAAGTTAGTATATGTTTTGTATTTACTTTAGTGAAGACCCGATCTTAAAGTGGTTCTAAAGGCTCAAGTTTTTTTACTCTCAATCGTTCTAGGTATGAAGGTAAAATACTTTCTGTGGGCAGCAGCCCCCCTAACACTTACCTGAGCACCCTCTTGATCCAGCGATCCCCACAAGAGCCTCGGTTCTCTGGAGACTCTCAGACAGGAAAGGGAGGGGGTGGGGCTGAGCCACAGCTCTGTGTTGGAATAGACATGCAGAGCCTCGGCTTGGAAGGGTGCCTGCTCAGGTGCCCCCATAGCAAGCTGCTTGCTGTGGGGGCACCAGACAGGAGAGAGGGGCCAGGAATACTGGTGGGGGTCCCAAGAAGAGGAGGATCCAGGATGCTCTGTGCAAAGCCATTACACAGAGCAGGTAAGTATGACATGTATCACTTTAACTTCTACCCTAGAGGTACTGCTAAAACACTGCAAGGGACAAGGAACTCTATCCTGAGACAATAATGGAGTCTCCCATTTCTGAAATCTCCTTTTGAGAATGAAGTTCCTTCAATGTCATGCTGATGATTCTGCTTTGATGTCTGGAGTTGTGGACACAGAACAGATATACAGTTATGCAATTTGACAATTTTCTGACTTTTTTATATGAACCGTCTTCAGGCTGGACACATGATGCACAGGGTCCTTGTTGGATCTTCTCCAGGAAGTAGGTGGTTCTTGATATAGATAGGGACACTGGCATATTGACATCAGTGCTTCTCTCTATAGCAATACATTGTGAGTGTTGGGTGCCATAGCAATGTAAAGCAGGTTTAGGGCGCCTTGCACTCATATCGTATCTCCATTCTTCGGGGTTGAATGATGAATGGGAGGTAAAATTCCACCTAGAATATTGAGGATATTTTCTGGTAGAGAAGAAAGGTTCTGCAGAGGGCAGTACAAAAAAAGAGTGTAAGTACTGGACCCAGAGCTGCTTATTATTAACCTCTAAGGGGACTGTAAAAGAAATGTAAAATTGCCCAAAGTTGGATCTCTAGTCAGACACAGACCCCCAGGAGGCCATAAGTGGATGTCTCAATTCTAGTCTGAAGACAGAGTCACTTTAACGCCTTGCCTACAGGGCACTTGTACCTCCTTCCTGCCCAGGCCAATATCCAGCTTTCAGCGCTGTCACACTTTGAATGACAATTGCGCGGTCATGCAACACTGTACCCATATGAAATTTTTTAATTTTTTTTGAGACAGATAGAGCTTTATTTTGGTGGTATTTAATCACCTCGGGGGTTTTTTTCTTTTTTCTTAAACAAACAAAAAACCACTGAAAATTTTGAAAAAAAAAAAGTTTTTTCTTAGTTTTTGTTATAAGATTTTGTAAATAAGTGATTTTTCTCCTTCACTGATGTGCGCTAATGAGGCTGCAGTGATGGGCACTGATAGGCTGCACTGATGGACACTGATAGGTGGCACTGATGAGGAGGAACTGGTAGGTGGCACTGATGGGCATTGACAGGCATCACTGATGGGCACTGATAGGCATCACTGATGGACACTGATAGGTGGCACTGATAGATGGCACTGATGAGGAGGCACTGGTAGGTGGCACTGATGGGCATTGACAGGCATCACTGATGGGCACTGAAAGGCAGCACTCATATGGCACTGATAGGCGGCACTGATAGGTGGCACTGATAGGCGACACTGACTGGCAATGATAGGTGGCACTGACTGGCACTGATAGGCAGCACTGATGCACACTGATAGGCGGTACTGATGCACACTGATAGGCGGCACTGACTGGCACTGATAGGTGGCACTGATTGGCATTGATAGGTGGCACTGACTGGCACTGATAGGTGACACTGAAAGGCAGCTCAGATAGGCACTGATATGTGGCATTGATGTGCACTGGTAGGCAGGTGTGGCATGGGTGAGCACTGACAGGTGGCACTGATGGACAGCACTGACAGGTGGCACTGCTGGGGCTACACTGATCATCAGGTGGCACACTGATCATCAGTGCCCTGATGATCAGTGCATATGTCCCCTCTGAGGAATGCCGATTACCGGCTCTGCTCTCCTCTCTTCTGTCAGCGTGACAGCTTATGGGGAGAGGAATGCCGATAACCGGCATTTCCCTATTTACATGTGATCAGCTGTGATTGGACACAGTTGATCACATGACCGAGCCGACATCTTCGGCTCTTTCCGTTGATCGATGATCTGCTGTGTCCGAGCGACACAGCGCACCACCGATTGCCGCGCTGCGCGCTCCCGGAGCCGCACATGCGCGGTTAGAATGGGAGGATGTCATATGACGTCCTCCCAGAACGAGAGAATCGCTTTGCGCCTGTCATTGTACTATATGGCAGGTGGGAGGCGGCTAAGCAATTTAATTCTGTCTAAGTCCATTCATTTATACAAAAAGTATTATCTGAGAAGAAAAAAAAACAAAATCTGTCAATTATTCATATAGAAAAATTCCAACATGAAGATTGACAGTGATGACAACAACAAAAGAGCATGAGATGGTGGGAATACTCAACACTGTACAAGTTAGAAGCTCAGGTAAAGATATTTTACAAAAAGGGACATGTAATTGTAACGTATTATACCTCCAGTAGTGAGTAGATTGTTGCTTATTCATTAAAATTGGACATTATGACTACACAGATCAAATATCTTCTTTACTTGAAAGGTAAAACTTGATTGCCATAGACAAGGTGTACAATACTGAACCAGCCATGGATGTCTCAATACCTGTCCTATGACAGAATCAATTTAAACAATCTAATTCTGTAGAAGTGAATTAATTCACGCTGCTAGAAAATCCTTCACTTACTTATGTATAAAGAGATTCCAACACCAAGAATGACAGCGATGACAACTGCACAGGTGATGGCAACAATTATAGTAGTCATGGAGCTATTGACAGGTTCTGAAAGAGAGACACAAAGGAACATGAGATGGTGGGAATACTGAGAACTGTACAAGTGAAAAGTTCAGGTGAAGATACTTTATAAAAGGAGAAATGTAATAGTAACATTTTATACCTCCAATGGTAAATAGATTGGGAGCTCTTTATGAAAATGTAACGCGTTGACTATGCAGATCAAATTTCTTTTTTTACCTAAAGCGGAACTCCACCCAGAAGGGGAAGTTCTGCTTTAAGGCCTCCTCCCCCCTTCCGCTTTCACATTTGGCAGTCTTTTTGGGAGGGAGGGGAGTGGGTACCTGATTTTGACAGGTACCCGCTCCCACTTCCCCTCAGATTGCCTAGGAAGTGCTTTTTCCCCCCTCCCTCCCCGCAGTCTTCTGGGACACAGCACAGGTCCCAGAAGACTGCGGGACCAATCACAGTGCACAGTGCTACTCGCGCATGCAAAGTGGGTACCCGACTGTGAAGGCCCAAGCTGTCACAGCCGGGTGACCACAGCTAAGATGCCAGCACCGGGGACTGAAGATGATACCTGGCGCCCCCTTGAGTGAGCACATCGCTGGATCCGAGGACAGGTAAGTGTCTGTTTATTTATAGTCAGCAGCTAAAGATTGTGTAGCCCCTGACTTTTAATTTTTACAAAAACGACTGGAGCCCTGCTTTAACCACTTGAAGACCAGGCCTTTTCTGACACCTTTTATTTACATGTAACAATCAGTATTATTTGCTAGAAAATTTCTAAGAACCCCCAAAGAGTATATATATATATTTTAAAGCAGAGGCCCTAGAGAATAAATTGGCGTGTTTTGCAATTTTTTATGCCAAGCGGTATTTAGGCAGTGGTCTTGCAAATGCAATTTTTTTTGGGAAAAAATTATAAAATTTGAACACTAATGAAGGACACTTATTTTGGGCTATAGAGAATATATTTTAAAGGACTTGCATTCACAATAGAATTTTTTCTGCAGATTTTTTAATATGAATGGCACTTAATGATTGATTTTAAAACCTATCGCTGCTCACATATACTTATTCTGCAGATTTTGTGTTTACACATATCTTCTGGGCAGCAGCAGGGGTTATATTTTTAATAATAATTTTCTCACTTTTTCACATACTTTTCATTTGGTCCTTAGAGCAGTGAATTAGATTGTTTGGATTGTATGAGAAGAAAAGGATAGAGAGAATCTTTAAAAAATCTTCCCTCTCATTTCCCTTTCCTTTCCTCTTCCCTATCCCTCCTTCCTTTGCTACTCCCATTTCACTTCCCTTTCCTACATTTTTTTTTATATTTCTTCTTTTTGAAGACGTGGTGTGCATAGGTTCTGCCAGGGCAACTGACTAAACATTTACTCTGTTGTCATGGCCCCGCAGGGTCTAATTCAGACTCACTGAAGCTCTACTCCTCTGTTTCAGAAGTTACAAATAGAAGTAACTATGTACATGAATGTTTCACGTGTTCATTTCTACACATATGACTAATCTGACAATTGTTACACATTACGTCCTTCAATCTTCCAATGTCTTATGGGTAATCACGGACTGTGATCTTACCATTCCTGTAACAATTTACTTTTTGCCAAAAGCTTACTATCTTTAAATAAATAAAGAATTTAAAAAAATATATAATTTTTAATAACTTTATCACCATAAAGTCTTATGTCAAGTTAAGCAGATAAATGTGGACATTCTTTGAGTTCATCTCTAGCCAAACTCTGTGCTTGCACTCTTTTCTTTACTCCAATGACCTGCGAGATGGGTCATTCCTGACCTGAAGCCTGCATTTTTTTTTATATGTGGGTATAACCCAGCCTGCAGCTCTTTGGAATAAAAGTGTTAGTTCCAAAGTCACCTGAGCTCATCTCTTATGGTAAGCAATTTTCCTACTCTTCATCTCTACTCACCCCATTTTAAAGTGAAAATTCCCTCCTCCAGACTGCTGTGATCCACATGACAGGAGTAAGTGTCTCCCTCCTTGGTTGGCACTTCCACACTGACTCTGATCTGATAGGTGCCATCAGGATGGGGGAGAATTGGAGTCATTTCATCGGCAGGAAGGTGGTCTACCCCATTCCTCATCCACGTCACATCCACAGCTCGGGGGAGAAACCCGTACACCAAACAATGAAGTCTTGTCACACCATTTGGCTGAGGATGACCCCACACCTTCACCTCTGGGCGCACTATGAAGGAGATAAAACAAATGGAAATATATAAAGCCTCTGATGGACAACAGGTATAAGAGAGCCTTATACATACAAAAGCAACAACTGTTCAAATCTTTATCATGATTTTTAGGGAAGCTTCATTCCGAAGCTTCCAGAGTGAATTTGATTAAATAGTTGATTTTGAAATTTGGCAGGTCAATGATACTCCAATGATTCTATTTTTAAAGGTTGAATCAAACAAAATATATTAAATGCATATATGCATACATTTTTAAAAGGTTTTACTGTCATCCTTCCCCTATTCTTCTGATACACATCTCATATCACAGAAAGTTGCATGCACTGGAGGCCCACAGTGGCCAGTGGGAGGTTCTAGCACACATAATTAGAGTCCAGATTCTACTGACCATCTGCCTGCTGCCCAGCTATTTGCCAATGATCCTCTGCCTTCCACCCAGCCAAATTCCACTGACCCTCTGCCTTACACCCAGCCAAATTCCACTGATCTTCTGCCTTCCACCCAGCAACATTCCACTGATGCCCTGCCTTCCACCCAGCCAAATTCCACTGATCTTGTTAGCGAATGAGAGGATCGCCACGGCGCACAAATCTGCGCATGCGTGGAATCCTGACGAGGCGAACAGGGCGTGCGGGCACTAGGACAGAGGCATGTGCGGCGGCACTCGCGGCCACGCATGCGCACTCGTGCTCACGGGTGCACACCTCTCACTAATGTCACCTCTCGGTGCATCCGCATCCATCCATCCTGCACGGACTCTTCTCTTCCTTACATCTTGGAAGTAGATGCATCCGAAAACGCAGTAGGGGCAGTTCTTTCACAAAGGAAAGGCCTTAAGGAACTAATGCATCCAGCAGCCTTCTTCTCTAGGAAACTTACCCCAGCTGAAAGGAACTACGACGTAGGGGACCAAGAACTCTTGGCAATAAAAACAGCACTGGAGGAATGGAGATACTTGCTGGAAGGGGCCATACACCCAATTCTGATATACACAGATCACAAGAATCTAAAATATTTAAGGACTGCTAAACGTCTCAAACCACGCCAGGCTACATGGGCATTGTTTTTCTCCAGATTCGTCTTCCACATCACCTACAGGCCGGGATCCAAAAACACTAAACCAGATGCGCTCTCACGCATGTTCGAGGATCCAAAAGAATCTCCAAAACCAGACACCATTCTACCAGCAGGGAATTTCTTGTTACTACAGTCTGAACTCTTGTCTCAATTACAACAAGCATCAATATGAGCATCCAGCCCACCCAGAATAATGGTACAGAGCAGGGAAGGGCTTTTATGGAAAGGGGAGCAAATTTTGGTACCCGAAGGGACACGAAACTCTTGTCCTGAGTTACTGCCATGATCACCCGTTAGCAGGTCACTTCGGGGTTTCCAAAACTTTGGAGCTGGCACAACGCACATTCTGGTGGCCGAACATGGCCAAGGATTGCAAGACGTATGTAAGGACTTGCACCATCTGCAATCGGAACAAGACCACCCGAAACAAAGCCTGGGGTTTACTTAAACCCCTACCAGTACCTGATAGGCCTTGAAAGATGATAACTATGGATTTTATAGTGGAACGTCCGCCTTCCCAAGGACATACCGCCATTTTTGTGGTAGTGGATCGGTTATCAAAAATGGCCCATTTTCTGCCACTAAGGAATATACCCTCTGCTTCTGAGACTGCTTGGATCTTCATTAAGGAAATCACAAGACTCCATGGAGTTCCTATGGACATTGTCTCTGACCAGGGGGTACAATTTACTTCAAGATTTTGAAGAGCACTATGCGAAACCCTGGAAATCAAGTTATCTTTCTCCTCTGCCTACCACCCACAAACAAACGGGCAAACCGAATGGACCAACCAGACTCTGGAACAATACATCAGATGTTACACGTCCTTTCTCCAAGATGACTGGGTGGCACTCTTGCCTCTGGCGGAGTTCGCATATAACAACGCTAGCCATTCTGCCACTAAAAAAATCACCATTTTTTGCTAACTATGGGTTCCACCCTACCTTTTTACCTGACCTGATCCCAGAAACTTCTGTTCCTGCTGCCCAGAATACGCTAAATTTCTTTGTCTCTAACAACAAATTATTACAGGAGGCAGTCGCAAAAGCCCAGGAAGACAACAAGAGGGTCTTCGACAGAAGGAGTAGGGGAGAACTGATTCTACATCCGGGAGACCAGGTCTGGCTGGCTACAACTAATCTTAAGATGGCATGCCCTTCGAGGAAGTTGGCACCAAGGTTTGTGGGCCCATTTCCGATAAGACGAAAGATTAACAATGTTTCTTACGAATTAGCACTTCCGGAGTCCCTTAGAGTACACCCAGTCTTCCACGTGTCACTATTGAAGCCTGCAGTACCCGATCCTTTTCCTAATCAAAGGTAAAGGCCCCCTGAGCCCATAAACATTGACGGGGAAGAGGAATTTGAGGTCGAGGCTATTGTGGACTGTAGGAAAAGAAGGGGTCAGACTCAGTACCTTATTAAGTGGAAAGGTTATGGTCCGGAGGAAAACTCATGGGAACCAGCTCAGAACGTTCATGCCACAGACCTAATTCAGGAATTTTTTGCACATCACCCGCAAAAGAGGAGCCAATTTGGCATCCGGAGGCTGCCCATAAGGGGGGGGCAATGTCAGGGAATGAGAGGATCGCCGCGGCGCACGAATCTGCGCATGTGCGGGATCCCGACGAGGCGAACAGGCTTGCGGGCACTAGGACAGAGGGGTGCGGCGGCAGCAGGGGGCATGCGCACTCGCGCTCACGGGTGCGCGCGCCTGTCACTAATGACAGCGCCGAGCGGGCTATTTAAACTGGCTACTGCAGTATCCAAATTGCCTCCGCCTTCGGGTGGATTTGATACGGCCCACTGTCATCATTTGTTAGCCTATATAGGAGAAGTGCAGACTCTTAAAGTGTTGGCTCTGAGGAAGAGGCTGTGTCCTTGAAACGCGTTAGCTAGTTGGTCATCCAGGGTTCCATCGTATAGACTCAGATGTTGTTTGGATTGAACATCTTGTTCAGTGTGATATGCCTGTGTTTTTTATGTCCATTGTGAGTATGATACTTACTTTTTTCTCCCAATAAATACTTTTAAACGATAATGCACTAGGCCGGTGCGCCCTCTTTTTGTTTTTTCATTTGCATTTAGTGATTTTGGACCGTTCCGGTCTGTTGAGGCAGCAAGCAGTGCACATTCCAGAACGTTCATATTGGTTCTGCTGAGTCCATTCCCAGCGCAGGAGAAAAGTGTTTGCTGTGTTGGATTTGCAATTGGATTCTGCCAACCTACAGACCTTGGGTTTATGTACTCTACTTACACTACTTAGGTTACCTCCTGTTGCACCTTCTGACCTCTGCTCACTGCCAGCTATAACTTCCTCTGATCCCTCCCCACACCACCTAGTTAAAAATCTTCTTCAACTTCTTGGCCATCTTCTCTCCCATCAGGTCTGCACCCTCCCTGGTTAGGTGCAGTCCGTCTGCTATAGAGCCGGTAACCAACAGCAACGTCAGCCCAGTTCTCGATGAATCTAAAACCCTCCTTCCTGCACAAGTTCCTCAGCCACTTGTTCAAGAGGATCTACACTGTATATGAACATCACAAAACAAATACACTATTTTTAGTATTCAAAGCAAAACTCCCCCATCCATACATGTCTTCATGCTTTATTTTTGCTGAGAAATCACTTTGAAAAACACTCCCTAATATTTCTGGCCATGACCATCTTGAGTAAGGGCAGATGATTCATGTAGCATTCACTTCCTGGAATCCCTCTGCCCTTAGCTCAGGCATGCATACAGGAGGGTGTGCTTAGCTGAGAAAGCCCCTCCCCCCCCTGAAGACTCCTAGGATGTATGACATAATTTGCCTAGGCATAGAAACCAGGAAGTAACTGAAGAAATGGATAAAAAAGGTTTACAACTAGTATATATAATATTCATTCTATTTACTAATGCTGGCAGCATGCATAAGGGTTACAAATAGTCAATGTTGATTGAGAGGGCGAAGTTCCAGTTTATGTTCCCTAAGCTCCTGCTGCCTCTGTGGTGTGACTCGAGGTATGGGCAGCATTTTGGAGAATACTGCCTTGGTGGTCTTTCTTTAAAATAGCAATTAAATCCCTGAAATAATTTTTTAGGACACTCCATCTTCTTCTGCTAATTTTGTCATTGGCGCCAATATGACAGCTATGTCCTCCCCAGCCCCACCCAATAATCTGTCCATCTGATCCGCAATGTGCCGAACCCAAGTGCCCAGTAAGCCATGTACTGCTCTATGGTCACAGTCTTTTCTGTCCTTTTAAGTCCCCTACCACCAGTATCTGCCTATCCTTTCCTATAACCTTGCCCCTATCCTCACTTGAGGCGTTGTTCCCATGACAGCTAGAGGAGTCACTCTTCTCCAGCATTAGCACCCCTGAACTGATATCATCAACATCAAGGAACCAGGCATATTTATCGGGATATGTCAGCTCAAAATGGCCTCCCTAATGCTTTTCCCTCTACCCTGTCTAAGTGTTACCCATCTACTCCTCTCTGGTGCCTGTACCTCCAACTTTTCACCCCCCCCTCTGTACTGGCCCCTGCCAGCACCTCATGGGTACGGTCCAATTTTGTTTTCAAGGCGGTGATTGGGATCTGTTTGGGATCTCCTGTTCCCTGATCACTGGCTCCCAGTGTACTCTCCTCCAGTTCGCTCTCACTGATCCTTTCCCCCACTCCTACTCACTGACCTCACAACACTTGGTGACAGCTCCTCCTCCCTGTCTCCTGGGCCCTCTAAGTCCTCTCCTTTTGTACCTTCTAACATGGCCTCCAGCATCCAGTCCTAATGCTCCTGCTTGCTAATCCTCTGATCTTCCAGCATCTTCTCATCTTGCTTATTGATCACATAGCCTTTCCTCCCCTTTTTCTGCTCACAGTGCCCCTATGCTTGGTGCCCAATTACTCACCATCCTGCCATTCTCTCAGTGCCCCCACACTCACAGCGCCACAGTACTAACAATACTCAGTTGCTTACAGTGCTTCAGTACTCTCACTGCCCTGGTCACTCACAGCAGCTCAGTACTCACAATGCCCCAGTTATTCAGTCTTCAGTGATCACAGTTAATTGCAGGCCTCGGTACTCACAATGCCCCAGTTATTCACAGTCTTCAGTGCTCACAGTTACTTGCAGGCTTCAGTACTCACAATGCCCCAGTTATTCACAGTCTTCAGTGATCACAGTTAATTGCAGGCCTTGGTATAGCCCCAGTTATTCACAGTCTTCATGCTCACAGTTACTTGCAGGCTTCAGTACTCACAATGCCCCAGTTATTCACAGTCTTCAGTGATCACAGATATTTGCAGGCTTCAGTACTCACAGTGCCCCAGTTATTCACAGTCTTCAGTGATCACAGTTACTTGCAGGCCTCAGTACTCACAATGCTACAGTTACCGATGTTTCCCTGTACGCACAATTTTCCCAGTTACAGCTTTCAATGCTCACAATGCTCTCAGTTACTCAAAGGCCCTCAGTACTCACAATGCTCAAGTCACTCACAATGCACCCAGTTACTTATAGACCTCAGTACTCACAATGCTTCCAGTTACTTTTTCTAAAGTTTCTTTATTTTTGCATTGTTATTTATTTTATGTTGGTGTGTGCATATGGATAGGAACTGTTCTGCAGCAATCCCCTGTAACACTTTCAACATCGCTATGCAGGGACTGGGCTCAAACTGTGCACATAAATGCAGACCCGGTGAGCACGTGTGAGTGATGCATTTTTTTTTAGGAAGAAAAGATGTATAGATGTTTTGATCTCTGAGGAAAACTCAGATATCCTAGATGACTCCATGTAGGGGGGTGGTATTATTCCACACAGCACCTCAGTACTCTTATGTACCCAGATACTAATATGTACAGACTGAGGCTGACTGACACAGACTGGAAAGACATTAATGAACACAGACTGGGATGGAGAGATAGATAATAAATGACAGACAGACCTGGTCAGATTGTTAGGAACAATGAGTCCCTATTGGTGGAATGAGAACCTACAGTCAGATCTCCAACTCCACCCACGTTTGGGTCAAAGACTCTGCAAATTGCATGGGACTGTAGGCAGTATGCTTTTCCCCTTTAACCAATAAAAAACATACAACTTTTATTTTGGGTAATAACTTGGCCACGGCCATTTTATTATTAGTGTGTATATATATATATATATATACATATATATACACAGTATCTCACAGAAGTGTGTACACCCCTCACATATTTGTAAATATTGTATTATATCTTTTCATGTGACAACACTGAAGAAATGACACTTTGCTACAATGTGACGTAGTCAGTGTACAGCTTGTATAACATGTAAATTTGCTGTCCCCTCAAAATAACTCAACACACAGCCATTAATGTCTAAACCGCTGGCAACAAAAGTGAGTCCACCCCTAAGTGAAAATGTCCAAATCGGGCCCAATTAGCCATTTTCCCTCCCCGGTGTCATGTGTCTCAATAGTGTTGGAAGGTCTCAGGTGTGAATGGGGAGCAGGTGTGTTAAATTTGGTTTTATCGCTCTCACTCTCTCATACTGGTCACTGGAAGTTCAACATGGCATCTCATGGTAAATAACTCTCTGAGAATCTGAAAAAAAAAAAGAATTGTTGCTCTACATAAAGATGGCCTAGGCTATAAGAAGATTGAAACTGAGCTGCAGCACGGTGGCCAAGACCATACAGCAGTTTAACAGGACAGGTTCCACTCAGAACAGGTCTCGCCATGGTCGACCAAAGAAGTTGAGTGCACGTGCTCAGCGTCATATCCAGAGGTTGTCTTTCCGAAATAGACGAGTGCTGCCAGCATTGCTGCAGAGGTTGAAGGGGTGGGGGGTCAGCCTGTCAGTGCTCAGACCATACGCTGCACACTGCATCAAATTGGTCTGCATGGCTGTCATCCCAGAAGGAAGCCTCTTCTAAAGATGATGCACAAGAAAACCTGCAAACAGTTTGCTGAAGACAAGCAGACTAAGGACATGGATTACTGGAACCATGTCCTGTGGTCTGATGAGACCAAGATAAACGGATTTGGTTCAGATGGTGTCAAGCGTGTGTGGCGCAACCGAGGTGAGGAGTACAAAGACAAGTGTGTCTTGCCTACAGTCAAGCATGGTGGTGGGAGTGTCATGGTCTGGGGCTGCATGAGTGCTGCCGGCACTGGGGAGCTACAGTTCATTAGGGAACAATGAATGCCAACATGTACTGTGACATACTGAAGCAGAGCATGTTCCCCTCCCTTCGGAGACTGGGCCACAGGGCAGTATTCCAATATGATAACGACCCCAAACACACCTCCAAGATGATCACTTTCTTGCTAAAGAAGCTGAGGGTAAAGGTGATGGACTGGCCAAGCATGTCTCCAGACCTAAACCCTATTGAGCATCTCTGGGGCATCCTCAAATGGAAGTTGGAGGAGCGCAAGGTCTCTAACATCCACCAGCTCTGTGATGTCACATGGAGGAGTGGAAGAGGACTCCAGTGGCAACCTGTGAAGCTCTGGTGAACTCCATGCCCAAGAGGGTTAAGGCAGTGCTGGAAAATAATGGTGGCCACACAAAATATTGACACTTTGGGCCCAATTTGGACATTTTCATTTAGGGTTGGACTCACTTTTGTTGCCGGCGGTTTAGACATTAATGGCTGTGTGTTGAGTTTGCCTTCTAGGTGTTCCCTACGCTCCCCAGGTGCCGTGGGGGGGCTTAAAACTCCCCATTTTCTAGAAACTTCCCCATTTTATTAATAGCTAGTAGGGGGCTTGAAACATTTAACAGTTTTCTTCAACCTCATACAACAAAGGGGGGACTAAAAATCTGCTGACCTTTTGGCAGTTTCTCCACTGTATATATACAGTGGAGAGACTTGAAACTTGCCCCTGCCACAGTCCCATAAGATAAGGGGGCCCTATATTGAAATCCCCCTTTTCTTTTCCTATTCTTAGGAGAGTATGTGACAGTGGGTGGGACTTATCACAGAAGTGGGCGGGGCGTAATGTGTCAGTTGGCACAAGGTATTAGCCTAATCTTGTAGTAGAAGGTCCTGTGTATACAGATAGGATGTATATAGAGTACAGAGATGTCACAGAGGGTGTATACAGTACAATGTATATAGTGTGCGTTCACCTCTCCTCTCCAGATCTTCTCTCCCGTACTCAAGGAATCTCTTCAGCCAATCTATACATTCATTCTCCAGATAAATCTTCATTCTCAACCCCTCATTGACTTCCGGACTGTTCCACCTCTGTGTTGAGATATGAGCCTCATTTATGGTGGGAATATGGATCCATCTCTGTGTGTCCAGATACAGGAAATCTCTCCCATCATATCCATCCAGATCATAAACCGCAATGCTGCCGTCATCTCTCAGCTCACAGCCGAACATCCATTGGTAGATATGAAAACCTGCAGAGAGAAGAGGGGGATGTGAGGTGGGATCAGAGGGTGTCATGTGTCCAGCAATGGCTGTCCCATGTGATGTGTGAGTGTGTCCAGTGGCCCCATGAGGGTGTGTGTCATGTGTCTAGCAATGGCTGTCCCATGTGATGTGCGGTGTTGGTGAGGGTGCATGTGTCCAGCAATGGCTGTCCCATGTGATCTGCGGTGTGGGTGAGGTGTCATGTGTCCAGCCATGGCTGTCCCATGTGATGTGCGGTGTTGGTGAGGGTGTCATGTGTCCAGCAATGGCTGTCCCATGTGATGTGCGGTGTGGGTGAGGTGTCATGTGTCCAGCAATGGCTGTCCCATGTGATGTGCAGTGTGGGTGAGGTGTCATGTGTCCAGCCATGGCTGTCCCATGTGAATGTGCGGTGTCCGTGAGGGTGTCATGTGTCCAGCAATGGCTGTCCCATGTGATGTGCGGTGTGGGTGAGGGTGTCATGTGTCCAGCCATGGCTGTCCCATGTGATGTGCGGTGTCCGTGAGGGTGTCATGTGTCCAGCCATGGCTGTGTCCCATGTGATGTGCGGTGTGGGTGTGACATGACATGTATGGTGTGTATAGTATGTGTCCAGCAACAGAAACAGAGTGCTCACTCTGTACATTCTACACTCACCATCTGCAGCCCGGGGAGAACTACAAGTCCCAGCAATCCCCTTCAGACACGTCTAGAGAAGCAGAGTAAGTGGGATCCGGCCTCCTGCACAACCCTGACCGCCGTGTACAATCACCCTTGGATGGAGCCGCTAATTCACCAGAGGAAATCGGGTCACATGACTGGAAGACCCAATAGGAATGGAGACAATCATCACATGGGGGAAGTCTGTACAACTACGGTATCACTAAGAAGCTACTGATTGGATGCTCTGAGCTGTGAAATGAATCCAACATCCAATCAGATGAAATGTCCTCAGGCAGCTGATTGACTATTGTTTCCCTCAACCAATCAGCACCAAGTCTGTCAGAGACAAGAGCAATGTTTCACCCCATGGGGGGGGGGGGGGGGGGGATATGACGGGGGAGGAGTCCATTGTACAACATTGAGAGATGAGAATATTATACAGAGAAAAGATGATCGGACACAGTGAGAGATCTGATGGAGTCTGTGCTGATCACTGACTGACACCCCACCCAGGGAAGGTCATGTCATGCTGAGTGTATACTGTCAGTGCACACAGAGTTCAGGATCAGGAAATACAAACCTCATTCCAAGCCTGTGGAGATGACTGACCACACCGGACTTCTATGAAGAGATGAGAGAGAGGAGAGGGGAGTACATGGTGTGTTATCCAGGTTTGATGATCTCTTACTATCCTACTATTTTGTAAGGCAGGTAATTTGAAAAAGTTCCTCATTATGATGATGTGCAGCCACTGAGGAGAAATCTGATACAGAAAGAAATCTAGAGGCTACCAATGCAGTTCTTTCGCTGTCAAAAAATTGTTTCACAACTGCCATGCTGAGCCAGTGACTTCAATACCTTTTTTTCTTCTTAATTTTTTTCATTCGAAGTTCAGACATAACAAAAGGTACAGAGTAGGCGTTAAGTACGCCAAACAATATCAAGTAGTAAACAGGAGGTAATATATTTTTCTTGATACAATAAAGGCGAGTTTATACATTATTATTATTATACAGTATTTATAGAGCGCCAACAGTTCGCTCAGCGCTGTACATTACAATGGGAGACAGAACATGCGACAGTACAATAACAATACAATGCGATACACGAGGGGTTCGAGGGCCCTGCTCCCTGGAGCTTACAATCTAGGAGGGGGGGATGGTGGTACAGGAGGAAATAGCTGTGGGGGATGGAGTGGTAGGAAGAGTGGAGGAGGTCGGGAATTTGCAGGGGGTGGGGTAGGCTTCCCTGAAGAGGTGGGTTTTCAGGGTGCGCCTAAAGGAGAGGAGAGTAGGTGATAGTCTGATGGATTGGGGTAGGGAGTTCCAGAGTATGGGTGATGCCCTGGAGAAGTCCTGGAGGCGGGCATGGGAGGAGGAGACTAGGGAACTAGAGAGAAGGAGGTCTTGTGAGGAGCGGAGGTTGCGTTTTGGGTGGTATTTGGATATCAGGTCGGTGATGTAGTTTGGGGCAGTGTTATGAATAGCTTTGTACGTCAGTGTTAGGATTTTGAATTTGATCCGTTGGGCAATCGGAAGCCAGTGGAGGGATTGGCAGAGGGGGGTGGCGGAAACAGAGCGGTTGGTAAGGTGGATGAGTCTGGCTGCCGTATTCAGGATCGATTGAAGCGGGGATAGTCTGTGGCGAGGCAGGACAGTGAGGAGGAGTAATCGAGTCATGATATGATGAGGGAGTGGATAAGTTGCTTAGTGGTTTTCTAGGACTTAACCCTATTCTGCCCGGAACCCTTTGCCACGTGTGCTGGACTTAACCCTATTCTGCCCAGAACCCTTTGCCACGTGTGCTGGACTTAACCCTATTCTGCCCAGAACCCTTTGTTCTGTGTGCTGGACTTAACCCTATTCTGCCCAGAACCCTTTGCCCGTGTGCTGGACTTAACCCTATTCTGCCCAGAACCCTTTGCCCTGTGTGCTGGACTTAACCCTATTCTGCCCGGAACCCTTTGCCCTGTGTGCTGGACTTAACCCTATTCTGCCTAGAACCCTTTGCCCCGTGTGCTGGACTTAACCCTATTCTGCCTAGAACCCTTTGCCCCGTGTGCTGGACTTAACCCTATTCTGCCTAGAACCCTTTGCCCTGTGTGCTGGACTTAACCCTATTCTGCCCGGAACCCTTTGCCCTGTGTGCTGGACTTAACCCTATTCTGTCCTGGAACCCTTTGCCCCGTGTGCTGGACTTAACCCTATTCTGCCCAGAACCCTTTGCCCCGTGTGCTGGACTTAACCCTATTCTGCCCGGAACCCTTTGCCCCGTGTGCTGGACTTAACCCTATTCTGTCTGGAACCCTTTGCCCCGTGTGCTGGACTTAACCCTATTCTGCCCGGAACCCTTTGCCCCGTGTGCTGGACTTAACCCTATTCTGCCTGGAACCCCTTTGCCCCGTGTGCTGGACTTAACCCTATTCTGTCTGGAACCCTTTGCCCCGTGTGTTGGACTTAACCCTAATATTCTGCCCGGAACCCTTTGCCCTGTGTTCTGAGGACTTACTGCCCTGTTGTGCCCTCACTGCTCTGCCGTATTTGCCCTGTGGACTACCTGCTCTCTGCTGCCCCATGTTGCCATCCTGAGAATCATTCTTCATTGCAGCATCTTGTGGTGTTTTGTGGAGTAGTCTTTCTATTGTCTGCAGCCTGAGTCTCCCCAGTAAACACCCGCATGTCGGGGTTTTGTGTGGTCTGCCTCCGTGTGCTCTCTCTCTGCGCTCCTAGTTCGTCACAAGAATTATCATTTTTTTTACATAATTGTGTTTCTGATGGGACAAAAGTACATGTATTATTTCTACTCTTCCTAGGTGCCCTAAACCACTAGCTGTGATATCTGACACAACACCGTCCTTGGCGCACAATAACATGATTCCACAGTTGGAAGGGAACAGCTTCTTTGATAGCAAATGACTGTCTTCAGTTCCCAGCACTTGCTTGGGGCACACATGGGCATGAGAAAATGCAGAGGAAGGTGATGTGTGATGGTCTCATCTCCCTCTTCTTTCTTTGTGCCAGCACAAGGAATACAGAGGGAAGTGAGGCTGATATACATCACCTCCCTCTGACAGCGCCGGAAGATGGAGGCATTCGCTATCACAGCAGCAATCTCCTTACTAGCTGTGGTGTTAAGAGGTCATGTGCCAAGGGACGGGTCATACACTGCAGCTAGTGTATAGGGGAATTAGGAAACTGAGACAAGAAGAATAAAAAAACATTGTAGTGTATAGAATGTAAAAACAATAGTAATAATTTTATATAACATTTATGAAATAATAATAATATAATAGTAGGGGTACAAATAAAGCAATTTATCAAACCATTTTAGGATTACACATAATAAGAACTATAAATATTTGCAATTCTGGGGAATAGAAAAATATAAAAACACTGGAGGGGGATAACATGATCAGAAAATTGAGTAAAAAAGAATCCTGGTGGATATATGAATTATGGATCTCTTGTCCCCAAAGGTTTGAATGCAGAATTTTATTTAACGTGCTTTTAAAAGTAATTTTTAATATTATTCAATGGAGTGAATTTTTAATTTAGTAGTTTAAGAAATAGGCAGTAAATGAGAATATATTAGAGAATGAGAGAGGTTGCAAATAGTAATGAAGATATCGGCATAATAATGATGGATGTGGAGTTAGTGAGAGCCATTACAATGGAGTGAAGTGATCTATGGCATGATGGCTCTTCTGGTTAGATTGGTTTTGGAACACAGGCTCTGAAAAAATGGGTGGTAGAATATATATAGGAGTGGAGCGGGGTTAGGTAGCAACACATTCCCTGAGGAAGCCAAGTGACCTGTGGCGTAACATGTAGAGGAGGGGCAAGCTGACGTCACAAACGCTTGTGAGATCAACAGACAGATAATGAGAGAGAGCCTGTGATTACTAGTAGATACTGTACATATCTGGTTCGATCAAATACCATGAAAATGTGAGTGATATTTTAAAAGTTTTTAGGTAATAAAGCATTTTTAAGGAGAAAACACTATTTCTGCCCATTCTGCTTTTTTATGGAGCGATTAAAAGAGGAGGAGGTACAAAAGAAGCACTAGAGATCACTGTGTGGAAAGGAAGGAGATCCATCTGGGAGACATCATTCTATTAGTCCCACTAGGAGGAAACAAGACTTTATGACCAAACATTAGAAAATGTGAGGTCAAAAAGCTCCAGGTGAGGGTGGAGGAACACAAAAAGTGAATGAAGAGTCTGATTGAAAATTGTGAATTGGTGTAAAATTGGAAGATCATCAAGAAATTCAGTAGACATTATATTATATAGGACTTTTTTTTAGCACATATTTATTTATTTATTTCAGGTACTTATATAGCG